TTATTCTAAAAAAGGGTAGTGCTAAGGTTGGCAGTTTGACTTACACAAAATGTTAACAGAACTTATTTTTTCCTTTCTATACCCATCTACTTCACAATAGATTAATATGCGTTTACTACTGAAGCACCCTTTCTACATGCAGTATTAACAGAACATGCACATCATTTTGCAGTCTTTGACATTTAAAAATAAATAATACATGTTTTATACCTATCTTTATATTTTTATTATTGATGTTACTAACTTGGTGGAAAAGGATTGGAAAAAATCCAACATTTACTTTTTTTTTTAATTTGGGTCCAAAACTCTTCTCATTTGCTGTCATCCCCTATGACTCAAATGCTTTCTCCTCTCCAACATTAAATTACAAGAGAAAGAGATCAGTAGATAAGGATACTAGAAATTTAATGTCAAGAATAATCCTACTCCTTTCTGTTTTAGAATGTTAATTCCTTAGGGCTGTCTCTGAGAGAGACTGTGTGAAACTATCCCAATGCCGAAGCAGTTCTAAAAATATAAAAACGACCAAATAAGCTTTCCTTTTCTGCATGTTTTTTTCCACACACACATAAAATTGACTTTTATGGTCACAATTTCATTGAATTCTGCTGTCTGCCCTAGGAAGAAACTCCTTATAGTAAACAGTGCAAATTGATTCAGGGGAATTACTTCCGTCAGAATAAGCAGTAATTTTATTTGACCTACGAAGTGAATACTGCAGGGAAGCGTTAGTCTTAAATAGAACAACTGAGAACTACCTGTTTTTTTTTTTAATAGAAATTCTATATTAAAAGTTTTCATTTTCATACCAGTGCCTACAGTCAAAGTTTTCTGCGCAGGTAACCAGCCTGTCGAGTACAGCTTCACAAGTCCTTAGAGAAGTTTTCTCCACCAGAGGTACCAACAGTGATGTTTTGAGATCAGATGCAGAAAGAGTAACTGAAAGTACACAGTGCCTTCAAAACAACTCTGCCCTGAGGAACTGGTTTTGCTCAAGAATGCATCATTAGTGCTACAGGTTAAACAACATCTACTGGGAAAAAATTATCTTCACCGGTTTCACTGTTTCCCCAACATTAGCTGCTTCCTACTGCTCACTACATACAATTATAGAAAAGATAGTAACATTAAGGACATGTACACATTTAAGAAAAAGAAAAAGGTTAAAATGTCAGTCAAGGTATCATGCTAAAGCAATGCTGAAATAAAACAGTGACCTCCAAGTGGTTGCATTATTCACGTTTCAAGAATGAAGATGAGACCGCGCTCATTGTCAGCTGTCATTGACAAAAGTGAGGGAGCAGAGACACCAGTTTGGACCTCGGATGACGGGTCTTTAGCAAATAAAAAAGGAAAAAAAGGTCTCTCTTTTCTTTGGCTTAATTGGGAACAGAATGACATTGCTTGAGAATAATTTTATTTAACAATAAGATGTTTAAAATGCTTTGGGCAAAATGTGATGTGCAAATTATTCTGTTGTTTACGGATTTACTGAACAAGCAGCAATGGTAATTAAGTAAAGACTCTCTCTTATCATAGAAGTTTGTTTTTAATATAGAAACACGACCTTATTTTCACCTTTGAAAGTTTAGTCCACAATCCAATTACTGATTGCAAAAGATTTATTTCAGCCTTCGTAGTCACAAAAGCAACTTGTATGTTTACTTGCATTACTATAGCTTTTATTTATTCACGCCATTTTGAATATCACTTATTTTCTGTAAAAAAAAAAAAATCTTATTCTCTGGTGCATTTCAAGTATGTAAACATGAAATCAAAGCTGTATCTGGAATTTACATATGTTCATTTCTGGCAATATTAACTTGACTAATATTACTGCAAAGAAACGTGTGGTTGTAGCAGCAGAGAACTTGGTTTAGGCTGCAAAGCCTGACTAAAAAGTTTGTGAATTATGCAGGTTTCTACACCACAGTGAGTTCTATGCTATGTTGGATAAGCTGTTAAATATATTTGAACTTAACTAGCTTAAAATAAGCATGCAAGTCGCAAATACCCCTTAAGTAAATAACTGATAAACTCAGTCTTAGCTATAAAAGCTGCTTCAAATGGCCTAACTTGCAAGCTCCTGATCACTCAGAAATAAATGCTTTATACTATTCCACTGGAGTATTTCTCTTCTACTACTATTACTTGATTAAAAGAAAAACAAAACAAAACAAAAATCAAGAAGCACTTAAACCTCCCCAATTTTACAATACTTAATCAAAAAGATCCTAATGTATAATACTGCTCACATATCATATGCCATGTATCCAATACTTCAAACAAGAATTACAGGAAAAGCATATACCACAATATTCACTCCAGTTTATAGTTCTTTGCAGACAAAATTAGTAGCAACATTAACGCGTAGCTTTAAATTTATGTGCAATTCAGTTGTTAATGGAAAAATTCAAAGCAGAATGAAGGGTAACAAAAGAAATAAATACACAGATCACATCAATATTATGAAAAAAATCTAGTAAAAAAGTTTTGTATTCTTAAGGTGTTATGTCATTTCCAAGACATAACATTTCCAAATGCATATTATTTCTGATAGTTATGCAGTAGAGCTTTTGCTCAGAAGGAAATTATCTGACTTGATGGACCTTGTCACAAGCAGAAAGAAAAGTGATTCGTAATTCTGATCGCAGCAATAGAGTAGATTTAAACCTGACAAAAATCACACACCGTATTAGAAAAAAGACAGTCTGCTCAGTAAACGAGCGGCATAGCAGGATTGAAAATGAAATAACCCACCTTGGAGGCCACCCTGAGCAGGAGGACTGTACCTTTTAAACATGAAATCTCAGTTAAACACTGCAAGAGCTTTCTAGGGATCTCAAAATTCATTAAGAGACTAATGGCTATTGTCTCTTGGTGAGACCTATGGCCACATTCAACCAAAGCTGCTTTTTTTTTCCTAGAAGGTCATTTAATTAAATAAAGCAATTTAATTTCCAAATTCTAGAGCTAAGCAGCATTTGTTTGCTCCTCTGCACTGCTTCTTCATGAGACTTGGTTCAGCCTCACTTGTAAAAGCTACTTTAGTCCCTTGACCAGTATCAGGCTGAGAAGGACAACGTGAAATGAGAGTTTCCTTTCACTGCTGTGTCTGTATTACAGCTACGGAGAAAAATGTGCATTCTGTCAATGTTAATCTCCCTCTCCATTCCCTGTGAGGGGAAACCACTATTCTCCAATTCCCTTTTATACGGGAGTCTGATTTATATTCCACTCTGGAGAAACATCGTCAATCACAAAGACCAAACAGTGCTATTTAACAAAAAAAAAGTCACATTAACTCGAATTTGATGGTATCTGCCATCCTCTATAGAGATCGCTCCATTCTAAACATTTCAGTGGGCAGATATTCAGATATTTCAAGTCATGTCTTTTTGACTGCCTCATGAGCCACAAGTGTTCACCCGTTCACACTGGTATGAATCTGCAGGGTGCATTAGTAAAGCTGATTCACTGCAAGTGAATCTGTTAGTAGCATCATAGGAAAAGTGCTCAAACTGCTACCTGAGGACTTAACTGGTCTTCACGTGTTTCAAGCTCAGTCAAACAAGACAGAAGGTTTTTTTGGTAAAGTGATATGAAATTTGGCATCTACTTGAAATTTTGGGTTGGGGAAAAAAAAGGCAAGTCAAAAAAAATACAAATTCCAAATATAAATTCTATCTAATAGTAGATCAAACTGAGATTTTGCAATATTAAAAGATTAGACATTTATTTAATTTTTAACTTTAACCAAAACACAGCCCTCATGTTTGTCCAGCTGCATTTAGTTTGGAAACTGTACTGTTTGCTTGCATATAGGATAGAATAAAAAATATCAACCATCAACATAAATACTCTCACAACCAAAAACATACAGGATAAACTCTGTAACCATTAGTTACGTATGAGTATCTTATGTGCTGGACAGCCTCTATCACGTATACTTGATTTTTTCTTGGGTCAATTGCTAGAAGTGAATTAAACTCTTTGACATATTATTGCAGCTCTATTTTCTGTGATTTTAATTTCCATGATGCTGATTTCTATATATTCTTTAAAAAAAAATTCACAAATTTATTTAAATTATCAAAGGATAATGCATTCTGCTTCAAATACATTCTGTCTGAGTATAAGAAGAAACTTTTATTTTTTGCTGTGTGGGAGGTTGAACCCTGGGATGGGTTGCCCAGAGAGGCTGTGGAGTCTTTGGAGACACTGAAAACCCAGCTGGACACAGTCCTGGGCAACCTGCTCTAGCTGGTCCTACTTGAGCAGAGGTGTTGGTTGGACTCCACCTGGAAGGCTGGAATCTCCAGCCTTCCCTTCCAGCCTCAGAGATTCTGTGAAAAACACCCATGTCCAGACAACAGCTTCACCCATGGGTAGGCCTATTGAGTTCAGTGAGAATTCAAGAGTATTCTCACTCCTGAAGTCAGGAGTTTAAACATATAGGTAAGATTTATGGCCACTAATTGGAGAAATATTTGCCTAAGCCTGCTGTGAGTTAACTATTTCCTATTTTTTTCTGATGCATCACACTTTTGTGTTGTGCTGATGAATGGTAGCTTAAGCCATTCCAATTACAGTACCAAGAAAATAAAGAAAATTGGAGTGAATGCACAAGGTTCTTTAATTCTATATTATAAATACGTAGCGACATTTAAAGTATGTGCCACAATCTCTGCTTTCTAACACAGTTCATAATTCTTTAAAAAAGAACCCTAAGAACAGCTATATCAAATCTGTATTTCCAAACATAGCCACATTTTAAATAAACGAAAGAATCTGCAAAGCTCTTCTGTCTTTTGTGAAGTGCTTGACAAGTATGGTTTAAGAACATAATATGCAGCTCAGGCGAATCTTGACAAGTAGGCCCCAATACTATTTAGCTATTTCACTAATGTAGAAAACCGCAAATATAGCCACAGTATTCTAAAAGCACAGATCGACCTGGAGGAGAGGAGAGCATGGAATTCAGGAATATGGCTTATTACCGTGGTTACAGGCTTTCAGCACAGGCCTCTGACTCACTGGACTGGGATTTTGTGGTATATCTGCAAAAAAAAGAAAACAATGGAAATAAAATACTCTCTGAAAGTTACTGGACTATAATAGCAATATTAAGTAGAATTCTTGTGAAGTTAGATATTTCTATGGCTAAAGCTACACTTAATACCCGTGAAATGTTTGATCCACTGGGAAGCAGGATGACTTTTACTTCCCAGATTCATCTCTTGCTACTGTAAACCTCCAAATGCTAAAGTATACACAGCTGCATGGAAGAGTCTTGCCATAGGGCTGAGGCTACGCTAAGTTCAATACTCTGATCTCCAAAGTGTGACCAGCACCAGCCAGACAGCACGAGACTCTCTGAAAGCTGCCATTGCAGGGAAGAATTAAACACACTAGCATTTTAGGTTCTGGAAACTTGGACTCATAATGCTTTTAACAAAATACCCTGGAAAACAAAATGAAAACTGAAATATTCACCTTTAGACCTTGGTGTCTTTTTCCTTCTGTCTCGAAAAGCAGCGCCTGATTGCAAGGCCTCCAACAGACTGTCCATCACTCCAGTCTCCTCACCTTCTGTGAAAGAGAGAGGGGGAACCTCCTGGGTTACCACAGCAATATCAAAGCATTAATAATATTTGTTATTAAAACAATTTATTACAATTTTAGACCAAGCTTTTAACTTCCACAAATTGCTCTCTCACATTTAATCACAACAGAATTGGTCTTTTGTCAATAACAATAAACTAGGTCAAATTTTATTCCATTTTAGTGATATTGAATAGCATTTTTAAGAGAAATATCATTTCACTCTTTTTTTAATTTCAGCACCCTTTTGCAAATACAAATAATTAGTTCTCTGTCAGCTTTTGACAACTATTCCTTAAAATGATTTTCTATATTAAACAAAAGAGATCATTTGAGTTATTGTTATAAAAAGTTAAAATTGTTTCTCAGCAGGAAATTGAGTGAACAATATTAGACTAGAGAGGATACACAGTCACAGAAATAGGTATCTTTAATCAAAACCCATTTTCTCTTCCTGTTTAATGACCTGTGGGCAATATTAGGCGATTTACGTAATCCAGGCAAATTCTACTCATCATATTATATATGTATGTATAATACCTTCCTGAAGGAATTATGAATATTACCATGAGATTATGGAATCAAAAAAAAACAAAACAAAACAAAAAAAAAACAGCAACATCAACGACCACCACCAAACCCTACTCTTATTTCCTCAAACACGTCAGAAAATTTTGGATGTATCTTGTTAGCTCCTTGTCTATACACACCTGTGAACAAAGGACACAACTTGCTATGAATTTGCTATGAAAACTTTTCCAAGAGGAATAAAGAATGACATAAGAGAAAGCTCGTTATGATTCAGTGTGCAAAACTCTTTAGGTCAATGAAGGCCTAAGTGCAGTCTGATTCAGCACTTGGTTTTGCCAACACTGAATATTCAAGCTGGTGAGTTGTCCCATTATCAGTTTAAGAAGTCCAGAAACGGCTAATAAGGAAGCAAGGCAATCCTCTAGTCCTGAACACAGGGTGAATTATTATGGGAAAATATGATCTCCAGTTCTTTCTGCATATATATGTATATATATTTAGTACATGCATGTATATATTGTGTATAAATATATACACATACATTCTGAAAATATATATGTATATATGCATATATATTCTCAGAATATATAAAAATAATTTCTGAGAAGGTAGAGTTCTTACTTGCATCTAAATTTTAGCTGTACAATGAAATTAATGAAAAATGTTCCATCGAATATCAGTTGAAATCACATGTTAGTAAAAGATTTTGCATCTAGAAATTCCATACAAATAAACACATAAATAGATATAAAACTCAGACATTCCCTAACATTGATTCAAATTTAATTCATGTTTTAATAAGAATACTTTTTTCTTCAGTATTTACAAAATGATCAAAAATCAAGAATTTATAAGTTTCTTTTGTGCAATTGTATAACATTTTTTTAATGTTTTTCTCTGTTGCTTGCCTTTTTGCCCATTTTATATTCTCTGCTAATTCTGTATGTATACTATATGTATACTATCTTAATATTCTGGTCACTAAAATGACCGAATCATTATTTGAGAACATTTGAGAAACATTATTTGAGAACAAAGCCTTTAATTCTTCTCTTTTCTCTGCAATATGTACTAATGGATTAGTTAGCTTTTAGCACTTGCCTTTCCACACAAAGAACAAGAATGGAGTATTAGTAATATTTTGTAACTCTACCTATCATTTAAGTACATATTTTCTGTACATATTTTCTGCACAATACATAGCAGATACCAAATAAATATGAAGACTGAAATACAATTTCTCATGCTTTGCATTTGGTATAACATGCTCTACTGGGTTGCAGTTTGGTCTCTCATGATTAATGGTCTATCACAGTTATTACCATGGCTTGGAATATACCTAAAAAGAGATTTTTCAAACCGTGTCTTGAGCTTTGGAGGATTTTTTACTTTCTCCTTCCTCCTCCTGATTTCAGGCAATTGTCTGAAATACTCCTGTCTAAAACAGAGGCATTCAGTGAGTAGTTTAAACCCAAACTTGATGCTTGAGGAAATCCTGAGGCCAAGCCATTTGTTACGGCCTGGTACATGAATGCAGGAGGAAAGTCTGTAATAATTTTAGTTAACAGCAGTTCCAAAAAGATTGAATAACATCACACTCCTCCAAACAATACTGTAAATGGCTATAGAAGTAGTTTATAAGCTTTGTTTCAAGGATTAGGAAGAATAAAGAAAATTGCTTTTAATCCCATTTCAATGTGTCACCTTTTTTTTTTTCAAGTCTTCTCAAGACTTCTATGGATTTGATGTTTATTTCAAAAACTATTAATAATAGTTTTCAGTAGAAAAAAAGACTGGTGCATAATACATTATTCCATACAAAGATGAAGTACAAAATAAAGACTTTAAGTAATAGAATACAAATACTGTTATTAACTGCAAAACCACTTCAGCATAATATAGCATGATAAGGGTACTATGTATTTCTCCTACTTATCTGAAATATACTTTAGTCACAAACTGTATCAGTGCTTCCATTTAAGAGTTAACAGGAAGAATACTTGAAGACAAAAAAATGACAAACTCTTGCTATTTTTTTTGTATATACATATGCCTTGAAAACAACAAACAAATGAATGCAAATAAAGTTAATGTTCTGTCTCCAAAACAATTAGAAAGTCTGTTTTTCAAACTTCTACACCTACATTAGGCTCCATACTGTGTTTTGATGCCAATATCAACAGCTGATTGGGACCCGTTCTACGAAGTTACCAAGCTAACTGTTGAAACCCACACTTACGTAGATATCTGTAACATCTAGAAAGTGTAAAGGTATCATATAGTATTTAAGAAATCTCTTAAATTGCTCTGGGAGAAGTGCATAAAACATTGCTCTAGTGACAGAATAAAAATAGCAAATATTGTTCAACATTAGCAGTTCCTATGGGACCGTTAAATCAGCTTTCACAAGCTGCTGCAAACTGTGCCACCATTCCCGACTGACTTTCTAATTAGTCAAATGTATCAGTCGTTTGACATCCTAGAACTAGTAATTCCAGTTGCCTTACAGATAGCTACATAGTCCATAAAAATTCCTTTGAGAAATATACTTTTATGATCTAAATTATCTCTTTTTCTTACCCTTGTTGAAGACTTAGATACTTTTTAATATCATACCTAATTAAAGCTCCTACAACTGTCTCTTGAATATCATTTAAAGCAAAAGTAAACTTGCCAAAATAGCCAGTAAGCTTTGCCCTTGACATTTCAATGCGGTCAGATATAAACTAATTTTATAATTAAGTCCTTAAGAATGGTAAAGATACTAGAGATCCTTTTCCTTTAGTGTACTAAGTCTTATAAGTTTTGCAGCACAAGTTTAACATGTTTTAAGATGACAGCAAAGGATACTGCAATTATTGACTCCTGAATTTTATGCAATTGTTCATTAGCAAGTGATAACTCAAAAAAGTAACAGTAAACCATTGGTATGATACAATCACAAATATCATTAACAACACTGCTTCAAAGTAAAAATGATGCAGCAACACTGCAAAAAAAAATCTCAATTGGCAATTTCCCCATAAAGGCCCAAGAAACTGTCACATTCACAGGGGTGCTACAGAAGCTCGCTTTACTAGGAAAATATCTACTGCCATTTCTGCTTCTTCTTTCAAATGACCAAGGCTGTATTTGGTTACTTAAACTATGTACTAGTCCTTCCAAAAAGCAAGAACAGGCTGACACCTCACGGGAATCACAGAAACAGGCTCCTCCAGATCGCAAGGGTTACATTTCTTACTGATGCCCAAACAGTGATGTAAACTTCAGAGTCTAGGCAAGAATATTAGACATATATATATATATATATATGAATATGTATGATTTTATAAATATATCAATGATTTTATTTAATGACTGATGTATCTATTGCATAGGTCGTCTGTTTGCGGAAGGAAGACTTTAATCGACCTTGTTTGGTCTTGCTGAAATTTTGGAACCACTCAATTGTCACAAAATGTGCATATGTTTCACAAATAGATAAATTTTAAATCTAAGCATGTCAGTGAAAGTTTGCCACAAGTTTCTAAGAGTTTGAAAGAAGTGATATGCAAACAATATATCCATTAATGACCATCTTTTAGAGATCTGTCCATTTCAGTGGCTGAAATTATAGTTGATTGCTACACCATTTTAACTTCCATAAGATGCTTCATACTAAGGAAAGCCAAATGGTAAAATGTGTTTTTAAAACTGCAGTATCACAAGTTCTGTACCACAGTGAAACAAATACTTCAGTGATGTGATCCAGATGAGACTCAGAAGTTGATATCTTACAATTTCTCTTTTAAGTAATGGTACTGATAGCAACATCCTCTTAATCTTGAACTTCGTGATGAAAATGTGCAATTTTTTGAGGCTATAGCTTACACTTTTTTAGTGACTTCAGAAAATAGCCATTGTAAACACACTTTCCCTTAGAGACCACCCAGGATCATTTCTATTGACTCCATATCCCGTAAAGAGTTGACCAGAGTGAGTTTTGCAGAGAAAGTTCTCTGAAAAAAAATCCTAAGGGAAACTGGATTTATAGAAAAATAAACTAAATACTAAGCCTCTGAATGGTGCAAGCCCAGGGGTTTACACTGGGGCAAGTTCTGCAGTATCTTCATTAATGCCCTGGATGATGGGACAGGGTGCACTCTCAGCAGTTTTGCATGTGATACCAAATTTAAGGAGTGGCTGATACACCAGATGGCTGTACCACAACTCAGAGGGACTTCAGCGAGCTGACGAAATGGGCAGAGAGTTACCTCATGAAATTCAGCAATGGGAAGTGCTAAGTCCTGCCCGGGGTAGGAATAACTACGACTAGGACAGGCTGGGCACCAACCAACTGGAGAGCAGCACTGCGAGGAACCCGGCATACAAGTGGAACGTGAGGCAGCGATGCTCACGTGTGGCAAGGAAGGCCAACATATCTTGGACTGCATCAGGCAGAGTGCTGTCAGCAGGAG